TTATTTTTTATTTTTTAAAAAAGAAAGATAGAAAAACATAAAATCTGACACAAGTTATGGTAATGATGAATTTTCCAGCTTTTGACCACTATTCAGACCATGAAATTTTCTCCAAACACACAGAACCCAAAAAAACAGAACAAGAAAAGTTTATTAAAAATCACACACACACACATACACACACACACACAATATGATATATATAGAGTATGAGAACATGATTTTGCTGTGTGCCTGTGTGATTTTCCTTTACTTGCATGCAGAAAAATTAAGGTAAAAACACACACACACGCACTGCACACAGTGAGAAACAGAGTGTAGAGAGAGAAATGGAGCTCACCAGAAATTGGAGAGAGAGAGAGAGAGAGAGAGTAATGAGGATTGTGAAAAGTATGTGCAGCTGAGCTGAAAATTTTCTTTTAAGCGTTCTTTTGATGTCCAAGTTTGGGCTGATTTCATGGATTCTTTTGTTTTTATGCAGACACCACCAAACATGACAAAAAGATTGTGATTTTTATGGCTGACGCATGAAAAGAGCAATGAATATTAATTTGGGCAGTAAAAGAATAAAATTACCAAAAAAAATAAACAGTAAGAGTTGCAAAAACAAGCAAAGCCGGGTTCGAGCTTCTCATACTCAAGCCAATAAAATGGGTTCGATCTTAGCTCGTTTATTAATATTAACGATCATTGAAGCAAAAAAAAAAAAAAGTAAAAATCCATATTCTCGAGCCTCAACGAGCTCGTTAACAAACGATCTCGAGTTTAATGAACCTAGCCAAGCTACGGTAAAAATTTAATTAATAAGCGTGCTCGAGTTATTAAAATTAAGCCGAGTTAAACTAAAAATTCAGAAAATTAGGTAAAAACTAGGGGTGTTCAATCGGTTGAAAACAAACTGAAGGGACCGAAAAATCAATTACTTGAAATTTTGTTTTGTCCAACACGAAAACAGAAAATCTAACCAAAATTTATGGTTCGGTCATAATACAAGTGTAACGCCCTGACCGGTTTAGGACCACTTTGAGCTCGCCCTTCTCGTCGGTAGAACGCCGAACCTGCACGAAACTCTCACACCGGAGGGATTTTCTCGTGAAGAGTCTCCAACGCTCAAGTCAGTCTTGAGAATATGATGTATATGTGATAAAGTATAAAGAGTGAGAGATTGTGTCTAAAAATGAGAGACCTCACCCCAGCTGCCGGTCGTACGCCTCCACTACCTCGGTGTCAGGAATGTGTCAGAGTGCGTCAGGATGTGTCAGAAACCGTTATCACGGTAGATCAACCATCATGCGCCGCGTGTCCTCTGCACATGTGTCAGAGATTCCCTTGAAGGCTCCGTGGTTCGACCATATTTGGGTATGCCATTGAGCTACCAATGTAGTACGGGGTGGTCGATCTTATGACTATTTGTAATCGACCACTCCGTGCTACATATTGTGTGTTGTAATTTTTAATATTATATTGTGTGTTGTAATTTTTAATACTATATTGTTTGTAATTTTTAAATTTTAATTTTTAATGACTATTTATTTCTCTGATTTTATTATGTATATGATTATAATTTTATGATTAGTTTATTACATAAAGTCTAAATTGAATTCAAAATAATAATGTGGTTTAATTTGTAAAGTTGTAAAATATGTGGGAAGTATTGAAAAATTTTAAAAGTTGATGTAAAAGAGAATATTCCAAGAATATTCTTTTGAGTTGGAAAATGAGTTTTTCGGTTGAAAATGAATTACTGCAAAATATGATAGGTACTGTAAAATGGATTTGAGTATGGTGTATTTGGTTGGAGATGGTCTTACAAAAAAATTGAGAGTGCACATTTCATTTAGGCTGTTTTGTTGAATAGGCCCAAATCTATGGCCCAAAACAGTTATATTTCAATAAAGTTGATGTGGCCCAATATTTAGCATAAAGAGGATATGTTCTGCAATTATGCTTTTGTTCCATGTTATGTTGCATATTACTTTACTGTTTGTTTCTCTCCCCCTACTTGTCATTCAATCTTATTTATTCCAGCATGATGTTTTTTTGCCATTTTGTCTGATAAAATGATGTAATATTTTATTTATTTTTGAAATTTAATAAGTTTAATTCCTTTTTCCCATTGAATATTTCATATTGATTTTATAAGATTTTGACAATTTTCAATCGAGACTCATATGGTACATATAAAATATTGTTTAAATAGTAATTATAATTAAAGTTGTCTATAATATGACTAATCTATTTGCGTGAAAAAATGATATACTATTTTATTTATCTTTGAAATTTAATAAGTTTAATTCCTTTTTCCCTTTGAATATTTCATATTGATTTTATACTCTCTCCTATCTTTAATAAATGTCATTTTGAGAAGTTATACAATAATTAAAAATTTCTTTTTGCCAATTATAATCCTCATTAATGAGGATAGAGAAGAATGTTTTGAGAAAATCTCCCCTATATATAATTCTCGAATGCGCTGAGCCTACGTGGTTGCTTCTGGTGCTTCGGAATCCTACTTGGCGAAAAATCATGCTTCGTAATTAGGTTTGGACAAATAATATTGATATATTAATAATTAATAATCTAGGTTCGGTCATTCCATAAATATTATTTAGCTAACTTAGGTATTTTTATATCACTTGTACTAATATAACCCTTTAATTTTTTGTAATTTTACATAGTGAGGCACTAAGTGACTATTATATCCCTGACTTTTGATTTGTTTCCTTTAGTTAACTATTGAATTGTAAATGTATTTTAAAAATTGATAACTTTTGTATTTCTTATCGGTTTTACATATATAATATATCAAATTAATCATCTTTTAATGATTTTCGATTTGACATCCATATTGTATATATGAAATAAATAAATTATATTTATCTTTATAATAATAAAAAATAATAATATTTATTAAATCTCATTAGAAAAATAAAATTATTTCTCAAGTGATATATTTATGTTTAATGTAGTTATATGTTGTAAGTTAAAAAAATATTATTCTATAACATAAGTAAAACGCACAAATAAAAAGTGTCATACTAATTATATAATAATATATATATTTATAAAAGGTATTTAAACTTTCAACTACTTTTTTTTCATTAATTTTAGATTTTAAGAAAAAGATTAACAAGCACCCGTGTAATACACGAGCGTTGTACTAGTATAAAGAGTGAATATGAAAAAACGTAGTGTATTTATTAGCTAGATGAGGGTAACAATGAAAAATATGTACAAAAGATTTAAAACGATATTCATTTAGCTGATTGTTAGTAAAGTCAAAATGACATTTTTTTTTTAAAAAAAAAAAAAGGAGGGAGTAAGATTTTTACGATTTTCAATCAAGACTCATATGGTACATATAAAATATTGTGTAATTACCAATTATAATTAAAGTTGTCTATAATATGACTAACCTATTTGAGTCATACAGTTTTGCTATGGAGCAATCGGATGGATCGGCTTATGGAGCAATCCACACTTATTCACCAATAGTGTATTGACACGTGTCTTACAATAAATACAATTTGGAAAGGTGTCAATATATTAAGTAATGGATGACTCTATAAGAAAACAATTCGATTGCTCCATAGAATTTTTGTTGAGCCATATTATATTATATACTAATACAACACCCATGTATTACACGGGTGCTTGTTAAAAAATTATTCTTAAATTTTTATGAGAAAACTATATTAAATTTAGTTTACTTTTTTACAAAAGAAATATATTACTATATATTTTAGAATGATATGTGTTACTTATGACTTACATGTGTTATATTATATTAGTTTTTATAACTTATATCATATACCTACTTGAAATATAAATATATTAGTTGATAAATAATTTTATTTTCCTAATTAGTATTAAAAATAATTTTATTATTATAGGGGGATTTGTGGTTGTATTTTTTCATTCCAAACTCGTGTTTTGTAAACATTCGAATTTTAATTAATTTTATTAAATTCTGCGTAAATATAATGATATAGATTAGTTTTTTTATTATATTAATTCTAAATATATTTTTTGCTATATATAAGTAAAAAGTGTTGTAAATATTAATTTATGGACATTACCTAGATATAGGATTTGTAGGTATGGGCCAGGAGCCCATTAGGTTTTTAGTCATGTACATTGTATTCCCTTATATATAGGGCTCAAGTGAATGAATAAGATGAGAGTTTTGACGGCGTATCTCTTCTCTCTTTTTCTCTTTTACTACTTTCTCTCTTTGTCTATCTTGTCTATCTCACATATTGACAATCTATATTACAA